TGGGGGGTGGGGAAGGGGGGCTGGGGTGGGAGAAGATCCTGAATTCTGCTTGATCATCAAAGGGGAGGCTAGTTGTGTATGTGCGCCATGGTTCAGACACTCATTTCTAAAAGTCCACTTCAGACCAGTTCTGGTTTATGTGGATGAGAGTTTTTTCTGTGTCTTCAAAATACAGTGCTGTGAGCTTTATTATTTTAAATGTGTTTATTTTTAAAGACTTGTCAATTCTGTCACTGGCCCACTTGCCTTTGTTGATGTTCAGATATACTATCTTTTCGGGTGGAAGAGAGAGGTTGCTTTTTAATGCCTTTGCTTAATACAGTAAAACTTGGCAATATTCTGTCGGTCTCAACGATTTTATTTTTCTTTTTTGGTGAGATTTTTACTGCCCTGTGAAATCTAAAACTGTTAGAATCACTGGTCTAGTGGAGTGTTTTCTGAGCTCTGTTTATCTAAATATAAGATTAATATCAGCCAACGTTTATTGAACACGTGGTACTGTGCTTGATGCTTTTCACATTTGTAGCATTTAAAACAAGTTCCCTGAACATCTCCCAGCTAGTGGGGAAGTGGAGTAGAAGCCCTGTAAAGACCAGGCCATTACAGATTTGCCTTTATAATCCACCAAGGAGATAATTCACACTTGAATTATTAGAATAGACTGATTTATTTATTAGTCCCTGCTTGTATCACCTAACAGACACATTAATGTGTTTGTTACATGAGATAATGTATACAGGAGCTTACTATGGTGCCTGGTACATGTAAGCACTCAATAAATGGTAGTTATGATCATTATTGTTGTTGGTAGTGAGCTTACCATAGGAACAAGAATTTAGGGTTGAAGGACTGAGCACATTTAGGCAAAGTTGAGAAGAATATGGACATCAGTCATACTGTCTGCTCCTCTAGGGCTGAGCAGGAAAGACACCAAGATCTGGGCTTGCGTGGGGCCAGGGATGGGGCCCTGCTGATATTTCCCGGCCTGATCTCGCCTCTGCTCTGTCTGAATTGTGGACACAGCACCCACCAGCAGTCAGGGAGTTTAGGGTGAAGGGAGCCAGTGTAGTCACATCAGGCAGTTGAACTTATCCTGCTCTGAGATTTCCTTTAAGATCCTGGATTGGATGTTTTAAATGAGGAATTCAAGTCCATCCCCCCACCAGGAACATTGGTTGCTGTGGTGCTGAGAGGGACAGTGTCCCAGATATAAGAACATAGTGTCAAATACATAATAATCCAAAACTTGGTGATGTCAACTCAAGCCCCAATTCTGATAGTCCAATAGCAGTGTGAAAATCACATCTTTGTCTTCAGAATAGACGAGAAAAACTAAGAACAACTGTGAGCACTCTGCCAGAACTCAATTGACCATGACACCAGTTTCTTCTTTCCTACCAAGTGAGGTTCTGTACCACCTGGTTGGTGTTTGTCTACTTTTTATTAGCCCTATTGCTGCAAATACAGATATCTTCCCAATCATTTGGTTTTAGGGTTGTGATCGATTATAATTTCTTTATTGGTGACTGATTATTTTTAAATGATGATAAACCAAAAATTTTCATTTTTTTTCTTCTTTCACCTTGACAGACTGTCAGAAACTGTTTCTGTTTCTCTCTCCCATGACACCTTATTCCTCATCTGGCTCAAAATTCCATGGGGCTTTTGCACCCTAACCGGGGGTGGGGGTGGTGGGCACCTTTAAGGTGGTATACCCACTACTCTGGCACAGAATTTATTTCAGCACCTTGGAGAGCACCACACATCGCTATTCCCATGTCACTATTTTTTAAATCCTAACTTTATACTTAGACCTCTTCCCTTCTAGTCTCATGATTCTCCAAAGAGGTTAAACATTTCTAAAAAAAATAGAAATTCCCTCCCCGATTTCTCCCAAAGGCTCCATAGGCAGAGTCACTTATCCTGGGGTTGGGGTGGGCTTTCCAGCCTCTGATGGATATAAGGTTTATGGTGCTATGGTGAACTGCTATTGAGCAGATTTACCGACTCTCAGACATGATATAAGACAATTACCATGCATTTCGTCTCTTAGAGGGAAAAGGATTTGCAGCGGGTTAATAGTACTTTTATTTCATTATCTAATGGTAAAAGTGTTTCATTGTGTGTGCAAGATGAATGCGTATTAGATTTGACAAATGGGGTCTTTCAACACGGTGCTGGGCCTCATCATAAGAGTTCACCCTAGAAATACACTCTCGCATCTGCGTGTGTGTTTTTAATAAATCTGATTGCAGAAATTTATTGCATCACCGGATTTAGGAAATTATAGGGCTTGATTGCTGCAAAAATAATCGGGTGATACAGAAATGCTCCTCGAGTTATGGTCCAGGAGAAAAAAAACCATCTTGGGATGGTACAAGAACGCAGCAGACCACATAAACAGAGTGTTTCTTGAATTATGCAAATGAAATTCATGACAACTCGTGGTGAATTGTACACCCCTTGTGAAACTGCCACTGTTAAAGTGAAGAAAGCTACAGAGGGGTGATCAAATATACATGTACAACCAGCAGACATTATCTGTTACGTGTGTTAGCTGGAGCATCCACCACTCCATCTTTCACTCTCTTTTTCCCCCTCGATGGTATGTCTTGTGAAAACCTGGCCTGCTGCCTTCATTGCACATAAGCAAGGCTCCTTCTAATCCATTTCTTCTGAATCCAGGAGTCTTCGATGAAATATTTCTTACACTTGAAGTGAACCTTAAATGACTTACTGCAGGATACACAAAAGGTCAGCTTGCTTCTTATTGGCACCTTCATTTTTCCAAAATCTACTGAAATTAAAAAGCCATCTATATCTTAAAAGGAGTATTTATGAACCCTTAAGTGTAAGTAAGTCATAGTTGGAACAGTTCCCACCTCTGATATATGAAAGCTGTCGACAGCACTTTCTTACACTATAATATGCCCATACAATATGCCGCACTTTACTATTTTGACACGGTTTGGAGATGTTTTCTACAGTTACTGACAAGCTTATGCCATCACTCGTTTGGAAATTTAAGAGGTGGGGCAGAGGGGTGAGAGAGAGATGAAAAAAAAAAAACTTTATAGGAGATTATTGATCCGGCCCAACTTCCAACCAGCAAAGAAAAGCTGTCCTGGATTTTTTTATTGCATCCCCAGTTTTGTAAATTATTCATTTGTGCCAGGAGTCAATATCCTGTCTTTTCTCAACTTTATAAGTTAAGAAAACTGTTCATAATGCTGTTTTGTATGATAATTAAAAAGGAAAAGGAGGGGAAAAATCTTTTTCTTTTCTCTCTCTCTTTTTTTATTGTTCCAGAAGGAGCTTAATTCCGTCGCTTCTGAGCTGTCTGCACGGCAGGAGGAGAGTGAACATTCTCATAAACATTTAATTGAACTCCGCCGGGAATTTAAGAAAAATGTACCTGAGGTACAGTATATTTGCTGTTATAGAATTAACTCAGTAGGAATGCATATTTTTCTTTGTTCAAACTATATTTTGAAAACTGTAGACATAAGTGACTAACAAGAAAAGAAGCTAATTAGCCCCAAAGAAAAATTACAGCCTTTTGGGGTTTCTCGATATAGTGGTGCTCAGCGCTGCTGTCTAAAGTAAGGGCAGGACGCTTCACTGAAGTCATTGTTTTTGAGGGCTCTATAAAACATCCATTTTCTCTCCACATTCATATCTAAGTCAGATGCTTGGCCTTGATGGCAAAAGCAATTTGTCTAGAGTTCTTGATTTTATTTTACTTTTCCATTGGCGTTTAAGAGATGACAGCTACAGCCACCCCTCCTGTCCTTCCCTCCATCTCTGAAACTGCCTATACACATGCCTCATTTTCCCCCTCCACCCCTCCCTTACAGCTCCAGCTACCAGCTTTGTCTTTCCCAGCTGCCATGAGGGTGGTCCAGGTAATGACCAGCCCCAAGCAATGTTAGGGCCCCCTAGGAGAAGAGACTTGAAAGGACTTGCTTCCATTCTTTACAGGGGCAAATGTGTGAATTTCTTTCCCTCTTCTATTAGGCCCCCTGTTGCTTCTCGGTTGTTAGTTTTTTTGTGTGTGTTTTTTAATGATAAAGTAAACACAAATAGGAAAAATAAAGCCTTCTGACTCCATATAATGTTGGTAGTTGTGTGGCACCTCAGAGCCATTATGGGAAACAGAGACTCCGACCACCCCCAAACCCAATTGTGCTTCTCTGGTCAGTGGAGCTTAGTTGAGCTGTCTCTCCAATCCTGCTCAGGTGGCCTAGATCTTGGAGGAGGATGGAGCAGGATCCAGCATTCTGGAGGTATCAGACCTGGAGATGTTAATTCTGCTCTACCAAAAATGAGCACCACAAATCCTATTCCCATGGTGGAAACTTCCAAGGGCCCTGTTGCCACCTGGGCAGAGGGGGCAGTCTCTTAGCTGTGAGATCCTCCTCACACAAGTCATGAATATCTTTGGTTCTTTAAGGCAAGAAAGGGAAGTAGGATCTACTAGAACTTGACCATGGAGCAAGTTGGGAAAGAATCTTAGATTTGAGAGCTGAAGGAAGGTGCACTTAGAGACGGGCCAGGAACTTCAGATCTGTTTCCCATGTCGTGGCTTCACAAAGGCCAAATCAGATCCTTGGCATAGGTATTCTTCTGCCCATCTCTTTCTTTCTTGGTTTGACTCCAGGAACTAAGAATGGTAATACTGATCCACTCTCCCTTCCTTCTTAGAACAAAGAATATCTTGGTCTTTAAGCTAATTTTTTTCTGCCTTAGAAGGAGTCCCAGAAGCCTTGCCTCTGGCTGTCCAGTCTCTGGGAAGCAGAAACGAAAGGGCCCCAGATCTTCACAGCCTTCCATCTCATCTCCCTTCCCCAGGCCCAGGTGAGGAGGGAAATCCAGGCCAGGTTTTAAGCCTCAAGTTTGGCTTACATAATTTTAAGACTGCATAGTTATGCAATTATGTAATTAGGAGGAATAAGTTTCCATTTCTATTATAGTCATGCCTTTGAAATTTTTCATTTTTGGAACTAGTCTCTCCTAATGGAGAGAGTCATGCCAAGGCTTTATTTAAGAACATCATCTGGCTGGTGCCCAGCTCAAGTCCCGCTGGTGCCTTTGCTCATTTCCCCCAAGGGTTAAGCAGGCAGGACATTGGCCCAAAGTCCTGCCAGCCACCTTCCCTTGGAGCCTCAGACTGGAATCCCCTAAACTCACTTGAGTGTGGGGTTGTGAAAAGAACCTCTTTGGGGAATCTGTTGACCTGATCAGATTCCAGCCCACCACTCAGTCCTGCAGGCCCTTGAGGGAGCCAGCCCACTTGGGGCCTCAGTCTCCCTTTCTGTAAATTCAGGGGACTGGAGAGTTGGTTCCTCTAGTCCCCTTCAGGCACTGGAATTTCCTGAACCTGAACTGGAATTTTCCTGCCCAACTGTTTTATTTGGTTTATAAGGTCTTTTACATTTTACAGTAAGGTTTCAATGTTTAGCATATAAGGAAATTTTAACCAAAAACCTGGATTTCCTGCATCTTTGAGACTAGATCTGGCCACATGGAGGCTCCATGCCCACGTGACAGTCACCACACAGAGCTGAACAGCTTCCACCCCATTAGACTTGCGTTCCCTCCAGAGGTTGGCCATGGAGCCACCCAACCTGCTGTCCACGTGTACACTTCCCCCAGCCTCTGAGGATGCTTCAGTTCACAGCCTTTGACCTACATTTCCTTCTCCATTGCACAGCCTGTGTGCCTGTGATTTCTTGTGATCCATAGGTTCAGTTCACTTCCTGTGTCCCTTCTGCAGATCACCAACATACAGCTGTGTACCAGCAGCTCTGAGAAGCCCTAGGGGACACATCAGTCAGTGAGGAGGGCCACCCAGGACCCAGAAGTGGGATTTTTTCCAGGGCAGAAGCAATACAACCTTATCCTTTACCTAAATATAGGAATTCTTCTGCCCATCTTTCTTTCCTTCTCTCTGCTGCCCCTTCCCTCCCCATGCTCTCAAGCAACCCCAATTCCTCTTTCCATCTGGGTTTCTTGTGGGCCATGGCTGACAGTGGTCAGGTGAGTCACTAGTGGGTCTCAGAGGAAACTGGAGCATTTAGGGTTGGGATCTTGGGACACTTGGTTTTAAAAGCCTCTCTCTTGCATGCTGGGGAGAACTCATGGGAGTCCACCAGGGAAGCCCATGGGGCTAGAACCTCAAGGTTACTTGTGAAAAGCAGGAGATTAGGGTCCAGAAAGGAGGCTCCCTTCTGAAGACATCCTAGTGCCATAGAGGTCATCAGACCTTTATAGAGCTCTTTCTGTGAGCTGGACACTGTGAACGGAGACCCAACCAAACCGCCAGAAACTGCACATTCTGGTGAGGAAGGAGAGAGAAATACAGATGTTGCTAAAATGCTGAGTGGGGAAGCAGAGATGGTGGTCTGAAGCAGACAGCCCCTGAAGGATGGAAGATTTTCATGAAGGGACTTTGGTGACATGACCCTGGGTGTGGAGAATTGGGGTTACCTGTCCAGTCCCCACTCCAAAGAATATTTCATGATGGACCCCCAGTTGCACAGGTACTTTGCATTAAAGAGTATTCCATGATCAAATCCATTTGGGAAATGCTACTTCCTCTGTCCCTCTTCCAGAAATTCCCAATGTGCATTATATTAAAGGCTCCAAAAAGTCCTGCAGGGAAGAAACTTGATCTGGACTTGATGTGTCCCCGTGTGTGTGTGTGTGTGTGTGTGTGTGTGTGTGTGTGTGTAGGTGTATATATGAGGAACCCTTACAAAATTCCATTGAGTGCAGGTGCTGAGGTATGGGACAACAGTGAGCTGCATTCAGGGGCCATGGGGTCCCACCTGGCACTGTGGTGAACTCTTCACTGATCTCTTTTTCAGGAAATCAGAGAGATGGTGGCTCCTGTATTAAAAAGCTTCCAAGCTGAGGTAAGACCCAAGGCCCATGGCATATCCCAAACCCAGTTCCCTCCCCTCTGTCCCACCTGGAGTTGCCAGAGGAGGCCAGCAGCCTCTGGAAGTTTTGGAAGAACTTCTCTACCCCATTCCCTCTAGATCAGTCAATGGTGTTGTGATAAGAGTGGGTTCTCTGTTGAGTTTGATGTGATTCCAGTGTCAATGCCAAGAAATCCCCCTCTTCCTAGACGTTGCCTAGCCTTACACGGGCTCTGCTACATGTAATATCCGTGACCTTGAACAAACCACCTCATCTTCCAGGCTGGTTTCTCATTTTTGGAGGTTTGTACGCAGTCACCTTTGCTCTCCCCTGGCACTCTGCTCTGCTTTGATTCTCTAAGGCAGTCTTGCAGATAAGTCCAAATACTTACCAGCCTGTCCTGAAATCCTCTCTACCATCCCACCCTCTGAGAATTAAGTCAGCATTGTTCACATTCTTTCCTGCCCACCCATCAGGCCCTAGTTCCTTTGGCAGCAGCTAAGCATCCTCAGCCAGTTCCTCTTGCCTTCCTGGAGCCCTGGGATGGGGCTGGACCTCCCCCATTTCTCCTCTTAGCTTGACTTTGTGACCAGGACTCTGAAAATGTCCACTTGTCTGGCTGACCCAGGAGGTAGGCTAGGAAAATAATGAAATTACACCGAGGCAGGGGAGGCCATTTCTCACATGTTCCATCTTCTCGGGCTCTTCTCAGTCTTCCCTGAATTCAAGCAGGACCCTGGAGGGATTGGCCCTTCTCCAAGCTCGCCCGCAGAGATGCGTGTGTGTGTGTGTGTGTGTGTGTGTGTGTGTGTGTGTGTGTGTGTGTGTGTTTAATATATTTTTTATTGATTTCAGAGAGGAAGATAGAGGGAGAAAGAGATAGAAACATCAATGATGAGAGAGAATCATTGATTGGCTGCCCCACACTGGGGATCGAGCCCGCAGCCCAGGCATATGCCCTTGACTGGAATCGAACCTGGGACCCTTCAGTCCCCAGACCGATGCTTTATCCAGCCGGCTAGGGCCAGAGATGCGTGTTAAGTCTGCCGTCCGCCAAGTGCCACATTACTTTAAATCTGTCTCTTTGGACCTGCATAAGCTCATGAGGCAATATTAAAGTAAACAATAACTGGATTTACACAAATGTCTCTGATTTCCATATTTTTCATCCCTTCATTTTATTACTGAGTTGACTGATGTGCTTATTTATTTATAGGGCTATTCAGTATTGATTCATTTGGTTTGAGGTGCCTGAGCTGGAAGGGGAAAAAAACAACAGCAACAAAAATAGAAAGAAGACTAATAATGTTGGGAATGTGTTGTCGTGGCTTTGTGTTTTTTAAGAAAGAGGTCCCCATCTGCCAACTCCTGGTTCCATGAGGGGCACTCAGCACACAAGCCTCTCAGGCAGCTGATCCCTCTGCTCAGCCCGAAGACAGGCACTGAGCTTTGTGTATAGAGCACCACTTTTTCGGCTGTTCCGTTGCTTGGGTTGGAGCTTCTCTGAGCCACTTAGAGCCTCAGTTTCCCTGTCTGTTTTGGGGATAAAGATATGATAGATTTTTTTCATGTTGTTTTGAGAATGACTGAGATATAATGCAGGGGAAGGTTTTGATGTAATGGCTACCACATAGAGAGCTGCCAGGGAGTGAAGAGCACAGATCCAGAGTTAACCTGGGTTTGAATCCTGCCTCTGCCAGTTACTAGCTGTTTGATTTGTGCAACTTACTTGATCTCTCTGTGCCTCTGTTTCAAAATCTGAAAAATTAGGTAATAATTATACCTACTTCATAAGGTTGTGATTGAGGAAGAACAAAGTTAATACCCATGGAGTGCTTCGAACATTTCCTTGAGTAGTAGAAGTCTTGGTTGTTTTATTATTCCTATTATCAGTGACCTCCATTATAGCTTTACTAGTATTTAACCTTCATTATACCAGGGCTGGAATCTGCCTCTTTCTTAGGTGCTCAAGGCTTTTTATCCAAAAGAGGGAACCTTTCTGTCTCGGTAGGAAATAGGCATGACTTATGTCATCTTTTCAATAGGAAAAAGAGTTAAACAGGTTTGGTTTGTGATCCAGAGAAGATCCAAGTGCAGGGCGGGTGGGAAGCACATGCCAATAGGACTGGCTTACACCTCAGCCCTGCTATTTACACTAACTGTGTGGCCTGGGGGGAGTTTCTTAACCTCTCTGGGCTACAGCTTTCCTTCTTTAGCAAATGTGGCTAACAGTAAGGATTTAAAGAACTAAGTAAAAGTGGTTGACAGGTGTCTGGCACACAGTTGGTACTCAATAATTGTTGGGGGAGACAAAGTCTTAGTGGGGCCAAAAGGAGAGGCAAAACTGAATAGACACTGTTGTAATAGCTAGGGATCTTCAAATAAATTCATTAATTTTCTTAAGATGGCTTTTCATTGTCCCTTTAATGTACCCAAAAGACTACGTTTCCCTGGAGTTTTATTCCCGAAACCCCTGCTTTCCTCATGATTTATTGACTAATCCATTGCGGCAGCCATGTCCCTCCCCAGGCCTCAGGAGAGACCGCCAAAGAAAGGTGTTAATAAAAAGCATCTTCTTCATCCAGAACAAACTATATACACACACAGGCCGTTCATAATCCAAATTTGATTTTCATTTTAATTTTTTTAATGAGGGTTCATCCTTTATGCCTCTTCCCTCTCACGATCCACCAGGCTCTGGGTTTAGAGCAGAGGATTCCCCAGTGGGCATTAATCACCTCCCAGGAATATTCCCCAAGGCAAACACCTTCCCTGGTCACATAAACTAGCCCATAAAACGCCAGGGCTGAATATCATACCGTCATTCCTTCTTCCCCACTGCCAGCCTCTTGTTGAAATATAACATGTTCAAGTCCATCCCTTAATTTCACTCTGCTGGCCGTGGTGTATACAGAATCTGGGTATCCTCTTTATCTTTTCATTCTATATATGTGAGTGCAGTCTTTTTTCTTTCTTTTTTTTTTTCTTCTAGTCTATGTGTGTGTGCTGGTGGGAGGGAGGCGGAGAGGACGTGAATTTGCCCTGCTGTGAATCAAGGAAGCTTTTCCTTTCCGCCTTGATTGCTTAAAGGCCAGCCTTGATTCCCCCTGCTCAGGAAACAAAGACAGCCAGAGAAGGTGGCTTAATGGAGACAGCTTGAAATGGCCAAAGTTTGAATATCCTTGCTCGCAGAGAAAAGAGCAAGACGAAAGCCCCGCTAATTACAAAAGTTGCTTTATGAAAGATAATTCAAAGCAATAATTTAGCAAACATAATCAAGTCGCACAGATGGGGTTGTTGATGGATGGATTGCAACATGCAATTAGCAGTTCTCGCAGTTACATATCATTAACCCTCCGAGCACAAAAATTATTTTCTCATTATTAGTTGAAAAGGTAAAATTAAGCTGACTAGACAGTAAAGGAACAAACTACAATTAATTACCTTCATTTATTACAGTCATTATTTTAAACTTATTTTTACTTGGAGAGAGAGATGAAAACATCTAAATTAAAAGTTTTGTTATGCTAAACCAGAGGTGAAACTTTTCTAAAGAGTGTGTGCAATGGCCCAGCCAGGAACATGGCAGGGCCACTGCTAGATTTTTTCCTGCTTCCTTCTTTTTGTATCATGAAGGCGGCGTGGTTTTCATAATAGCAAACCCTTTGGGTTGAGTTGGAACAGACACATTCACCTGGGCCTGATGGAAATAGCAGTTTGGTAACCAAGGGGGCTGACAGGGCCTCTGACCCCAGGGGAGGCAGGAGAGCATGGTGGTCAGACACCAGTGTCTGAGTCCCACCCTAACAATGCGTGAGGATCTGAGAGGAATTAATCTGGCAAAGAGACAGTGAGTGCAAGGAGAGATTCTAGGCAGGGAGTGGGAAAGCTCTCCCTGACCACCCCCAAAGCCCTGGTCAGGCTTGAACGCCCCCCACACCCCCCATGGTACATAGCATTAGTCATCTTTATGCATTTGTCAGGGCCTTGGGGCCACTTTAAGTGCACTCTGGCTGAAACTCTGAATGAGGTGGGAACCACTGGAGACTTTAGAGCAGAGGAGGGACAATGAACTCAGACTCAGTTTATAACAGAATCCTTCTGGTTGCTAATCAGATGGCATGGGGGGAAGAGGGAATCTGACTTTTCAAAGATGACTGAGAGGAGACTATACCCCTTACACCTCCTACTTAAACCTCCACTCCCACACCCAAGCCTCTCTCTGTTCACTGCCCACATTCAATATCCAGAGCCTGAAGTCATCAACTGCCTTCCCCCGACCATCTTTCCTAGCCCCAGTCACTGAGGACTCCCTGCTTTTCCCTCCCAGGCAGTTGTGGTTGAGAAAGGGAGTCCTAACCTAGAACAAGATCCTCAAAGGGTCAGTTCGTGTCCATGCAATTGAGCTGCCTGAGAAGGGCATGGAGGGCATCCGCACAGCCCAGATTACCTAAGACGGGCATGTCCCTCCCTACCCGGTCCCTGAGTGCCCCACCTAGCCATGCATGCCATGTCCTAATTTGGTCTCTGTGTCCCCTCCTGTTCTGCATCTGCCTGCAGGATCCCTGCCTGCCCTTCCTTTTGAGCTGCAATTTAATTACAGGGCCTTTTTTTTGCCTTTTTAACATTATTTGCTTTTTGATGTCATAATTCTCTTGCTCCCCAAACTACCTTTTCTCTGGTGCTCCCAGCACTGGTATGACCATTCCTTTGTAATGGCCACAAGGCCACAATAGACGTTAGACATGTGCAGTCCTGGCAGCCTGCAAGCGGGGGAGCAGTGACCTCACTGACCAACAGGACCCGCCTGGGAAGATGAGCAGTGGGGGTAAATATGGGGTCTGAAGCCATTTTGGCATAGGCTTGCATCCTAGCTCATCCACTTCCCAGTTGTGTGACCCTGGGCAAGACCCTCTGGGTCTCAGTTTCCTTGGCTTCCCCCCACTCTTTCTTTTTTCTTTTTTTTTTTTTGAAGTTTAATTGACATGCAACA